ATAATGCAATATTTTATTTTCATCCATTTCATTGATATCATCATGGTTTTGAATAATATTTGTAGAGTTGTGTTCAACAAGGTAAGCCATATTGTGTAAGCAAAACATTTAAGATGTTTCGTATGAGATGATCATTCCTAGTTTTGTCTTTTAATAATCATTTATAAATTATTTAATGATATTTTTCTTTCATTATGAGAATCATTTCTAAACCTTTTAGTGATATTTTTTTTCTCGGTATGAATAACAATAGATTTTAAACTTGAGTTGTCCCTAACGAAGGTAGAAAGCATAAAGGATGATTAATTGCTTTTTCAACTTAATTAAGTGCTTAATGAATAATCTGTGATGACATTGACTTGGGAGATGGAGATTTGCCGAAGCAGAAAGTATAATTGAATACGCCTATATGAATGGTTTAGAAGACAAAATGAAGGGCATCTAGAGTTGGGACAAGGCTGCCTTTAGGTATAGAGGGAGATAGGGGGGCAGCCGGGCAGGTTGGATTAATGGATTGTGATTTGTGCAGCTAAAACCTAAAACGCTTAGCAACTTGGCTCTTTTTTACTATTGGAAGGAATGTGGAATCCACAGTCCAATGCAATTTTCATCCCAATTTTGTAAGGGAACGTGTGTCACCCACGCACTCTCTTGTCCTTTTCTACTTTTTCTTGGCTTCCCAATCAATTCAGTATGCAGCTAGGTCCAACAAGGTCTCCATCTTGTCGTGTTCCTGCCAACTTCTATGCAAAATAATCAATTCTTGCTGGGGTTTGGGCCTCAGGGCCTTTCTCTTGAGTTTCAAATCATTTGGACTCCTCTCGGCCCCAAAATTCGATACTCTTTCAAATTGAGATAATTTCTCTAGCAGCCTTTTAACATTTCTTTTGTCTCAAATCCATCCAACAAGTTTATTTTGTCTTTATGTCAACCCTTAGTTAAAACATTTTGGGGTTAAAGTTAATGGAAAATCATTACAACAGAAGACATTGAATGAGAAAATGTGAATTTTCATTCATGATTCGATATGTACAGTAATTTTGTGCAACAATTGAATATCATTACAAAAATAAATAAAACTTATTTACATTATATCATGAAGGAGTTGGATCCATGAGCCTAATCTACAGTGGCTGGGCTTGCTGCACAAGGAAAAACAAAACAAACGGTCAGTGCAATTGTAAAACTACTTGGGCCAGCTTATGACCCATTAGGCCGACTGAGATTTAATGATCTCGGCCCAAGTGATCAAGTTACGTCTGTTTAGGTCTTTACCCCTAAATATTATATAAAAGGTTAGTTTCAATCTCTCCTCTATATATATATATATATAAATTGAATGTAAATTTATTATATATTTTTTATTAATTTATATAAAAAATTTTTTTATTATTTTTAATTTAAGAAGTTTTTTTTTTTCTTTTTTCCACAAAATGGTAAAATCATATCAATATGCTGCTGTAACAAGCTTAATTAACGCAAATTATAACTAGATTTT